AAACAGAAGACTAAGCAAAGAATTCCTCAGGCCTAGTTTCCAGATGCAAATCAGATAAGGAAAGTCAAACAAAGGAGCTGCAAAACACTCCCTACATGTTTAATAAGCAGTGAGATTTCTCCAAGACTACAGTCTTTGTAAGTTAAATGAAGGAACTTGTGTATTTGCATTTAACCAGAAGTACTTGTCTCAGCTTAGGAGAATGGGATAATAGGCCAGTCAATAACATCAAGAGCCAGTAAAGTAATATTTTTATATATATAAAAATACATGTCTGTTACAGATATGTGTGTATATATATATACACACACTTTGTTGCAAGTCTAATGTAAGGCCAAGAATGTAACAAACTACCTACAGCATTTKCATTCACACAGCACCAGATTAGAACTGCTCTGAGGACAGTTTAGTGAAACAGAGTTAAGTAGAAACTACAAATGAAATTCAGAGAGACAGAACCACAAAACACCAGTCTGGAGACTGTAAAAGGAAGCTACAAACATGGMAACAGAAGCTTGCAAGGTAGGGATGACTTCAGGCGTGACTTAAGAAGGAAAAACAAAGACATCACTAAAGAARCCAGATCATTCTAGAAAGTTGAACTTTGAAAACAAGGCACTAGAAAGCCTGTRTTTGTAGTTACCACAGGACTTTACTCAGGTCTTGCTGACAAAGCAGCCAGAACCTCAGAAAACAATTAGTTGTAAATATGGTACCTTTGCCACCCTTATACTCACTATAAGACTTCCTACCAAAAATTTAGTGAGTAAATGTTATTGGAAAGTCAGGAAAGTTAGAGGGAAGAGTTTGAAAGCACTTTGTGCGGTTTTAACAATAAAACACATGGATTTCACACTCCGGTGCATGGTGCAAAGCTGAAGATTAAGCTTTGTTAACCRAGTCAAGCAGCAGAAAGTTCATGCTTTCTCTGTTTCATATTCCATACAAAACCACAACTAATCTAGGGCTGAGGACACAGGGCTGCAGTGATATGTGGAAACTGCTACTGATGAATACTAGTTTAAAGAACAAGAAAAACGAAATTTTCTGCCCAAAGACAGAAGGTCAATTTTGTCTGACAAGCCTCCTCAGGTCTCAGTTGAAGTGAGAGTGGAAGACACAAATAGTGCAGGATACAATAGGAGAAGAAATGTGAGCAGCCTTACCAGGCCAACAGCGTGTTCAATTTGAAGCAACTTTCCTTAGCTCTAAATGCAAAGGACCAATTAAATCCCTTTCTTTGCTACCATGAGTTGGTGAGGTTGAGCTGCTGCACCTGAAAGGTGACAGTGTACCTTCAGAGCATGGCAGCATACCCGTGTGTTTTGAGTGACCAAACAGCTTTTATTCAAGTTTTAAACTACATTCAGAAATCGAGTTGGTACCAGACAGTCAACCTGGACCTCATGAAACTGTTTTGCAGAAASCCAAGGCAGGAGCTCCTACAGCCTGTCGTCTTTGCAGTGTGTACATGTATGTCCTGCTTCAACAGCCCTGCCAACTAAGTTGCTTTTGAATACAACAACATTCCCTTCTTTTGAGGTCATCTGTTTGCAGGTCATTTAAGCAGCCTTGGGATCGATTAGATTTTCTGAGTTATTTGGACATATAGCAGCCACAGCATCTCCAAGCCACAGTTCTGAGTTGAAGATCAGACAATGCAGTCAGCCAAGCAAAAAGTAAATTTCAGGACTGGTACAAGTTTGTTCTAAAAAGTTGCAATTCCAAAATGAAGGTGTTTCATCATCCTGCTTCCATGCATTGTGGTAGTTTCCCCACTGATTATAATATTTAAGTCGAGTATCATCTTGCAAAGATCCTTCCACAGCATTCTCCCATTGCTGGAGGGCAAATGTCCTACCTGGAAAACTTCTGAAAGAGGGAAACCTCTCTAGTGTCCATGAGTATTATTTTAGTTTTTGAAGACTCAGGAATGTACACAGCTCAGTACAGGATCTGGACCACAATCTCCCAGACATTGCAAAGATTGCAAATATACAATGTCTCCTTTATCAGTGAAAAATCCTGCTTTCACTTCTGGCCAACCTGACGGAGGTGGGTCATGCTGCTTTCCACAGGAATTGGAAGATTAGGTATTATGGAGGTCTGCTGAATAATCAGATAGCCTYATTTGAGATGTGCACGTCCTAGGAAACTAAGGAAGGAATTTGGCTGAACTCTGCCAGTCCCATGTGGAAGGAAAAGCCGGTAGAGRGGTGCCAATCCATCACATTCTGGTTCCCTCCACCTCTTTCTGCCAGTCCCAAGGTGCAGCCAGACCCACTGCAGTAACAGCAACACCACAGGGAGGTTTCCCAACAGCAAACCCCCTCAGTACTTCTGTCCTTTCAGTAACCAACATCTTCAAGTTAAAGGATTACCTRGACAATTGCTCAGGCTCAGAGTCAGAACCATGAGAGAGGCAATGCTCAGTACATCCTAGATGCTGTAACACTGTAGGTGCAGACAGACACCAAACACAGCCACTGGCATTTCCAACGATAAACGATGACTTGCAGGGTTTTCCACATGCTTCTCCCTAATCTGTAGGTGAATTACCATTCCTAGCATCAGTACTCACTACTCCAGTTTGGCCAGATGTCAGAGAGACTGTCCCAACTACTGCTTTGGGCAGCAGGAGCAACCAGTTTGTTTCTCAATAATCTGGGATCTCAGTGAAAGCAGAAAGTGATACAGTTTTGTTCAATTCAGTGRAACACAAGTGCTAAGCAGATACTACTATATTTCTAAACAGAAAAACAAACAAACAAACCCCCAAACCCTTACCTGCAAAAAAAATCCACTTTTTTTTACTAACATACTACATTTCTGTATGTGCTAGATTGTGGGCTTCTATAAAACTAGCTCTAGCAAAATAACCAGTARCTTCTGTAATACCAGAGCAACAGCCAGCTCTATGTGACAGTCCAGCCTTCTGGAATACTCCTAGAATATTCCACGGCTGTTACCAACAGTGACTTACTGTCTCCTGCCCTATTCAACGAGAAAAAAACAAAACCTTAGACTGCAGTATTTCCCCTTTATAAAAATAATCCTTTCATTTTCTAGCCCCATCCTTTTCCCTTTGCATCTGCTAGGAGAAATGCAAGAACTGGGGAGAAGTGAGAACAAGACAGCATCATACAAACCAGATTTCAACAGGCTGCACTCGTAGTTTCAACACTGCTGCTAAGAGATCCTCAGGCCCAAGCCTGGGTAGTCCCGAGATGAGGATGCTGCAGCACGTACCGAATTCTCCACTGCCTTGCCGAGCCAAGATAGTTGCAGGGGTTMTTATTGTCTTGCGCTTAATGTAGTTGCTTACCCCGGGGTAATGTCAGCCTCCCATCTTCAGAATCTCCCAAGATCTTGCRCAGAAGCAGTTAACGAAGCTACTTTTCCCGAAACAGCTCAGGTGTTTTCTGTGCTCCCCGCAGGGCGGGTGAGCCAAAGCGATTCCCCCTTTCCTGGGGCCCCGCCACCCCCAGCCCGGCCGAGCCCGCGGCTCTGCCCCGCKCCCGCCTCCCGGCGCGGCAACAAGAGCATCCCCAGCTCTCCAGAAACCCTTGGAAACCCAGGAGAATCGAACATGCCGGCAAAGTCGCGGGCTGGAGGACACCCTGCCRCCCCCATGGGGTTTTCCCCGATGGCTGCTGCTGCCTCCCGGCAGCTCCACGACCCCCCAGTTCCGCGCAAACCGATCGTGACCGTCCCCGCCACCGCGCCTTCCCCCATCCCAATCCTCCCGGGATCCGCGGAGCCTGGGAGGGGCGGCAGGCAGGGAACAGCTTCCAGCCATGCGGCTGCGGGCGCCCCTTCGGGGAAACAAAGGCG